TGGGTGATATAGGTTTTGAAGAAATCTTTATCTTTAATGGAATCATGACAAGGTTTTCTTCCGACAACAGCAATATATATATATATATATATATATATATATATATATATATATATATATATATATATATATATACATCACTGTTACACAAAGATATGTGGACATATATATATATATATGTGTGTGTGTGTGTGTGTGTGTGTGTGTGTGTGTGTGTGTAAAACTACCTATGTATTAACAATGTTCTGATCTTAAACCTAACCTAAAAACCTAAAAACAACCACACACACATATTCACCCCCACATAACAGTCTTGACAAAGGGGCGAAGGGGCGCTCTTACTTAAGACACCAATGTTCTTTCCTCTTCTCACTGTCTTCATACTGACGTAACATCTCTGCAGCTTTGTGAACGGGGTACTCGCTCCCCACTAACAGATGAACTTCTTATTCTATTGCCACATGTTCTCACGAGGCAGTCGAATGGAGCACACTCTCTTTATTTGCAGTTATGTAATGTAAAAAGGCAGATGGGGTTTCGAGCCATGTTGCCTTGCAGTGCCTGTGAGTTGGATAGCGTGTTTTGGTTCCATCTGCAACATCTAAAAGCTTAATTCCCCAACTGGAGACCGAGTGCAAGCCAGAAAACGAGGTTTCAGTTTTAAAAGCGTTTGTGAAGTTTTGGCTGATGGAGTTGGAAGGCAGTTTAGTAAAAACATTAAAAACATTTTTCTGACTGAAAGCAGCAATTTTTTTCTTCACATTCTGAATGAACACATCATTCTACATAATAAGAGCAGTAACATGCAATGAAATCTGGAAGTGTTAATAAGAACTGAGAGTAGTGAAGTGACTTCATAGTGCATGACCACAGCGTGTCAGACCTACATGGTGCATTAGCCTTATAATTGTTGCTTATACATTCAATCCACATATCTTTGTATGAGACACTAATTCTCAAGTAGTGATAAAAATATGTGAAGGATATAAAGGATGCCAATTTTGGCTTATTGTCGCTGTCATATCAAAACAAGTTTGTTTTTTTTTTGCATGATTGCTAAACACCAGTTTAGAACCTAAACAACATATCATGACAAATAGACCGATGCACTGTAGAAAATTACTCTGTAAATGTATATAAACTTACTGACAGCAAAGCTGCCAATTCTTTGCAGTAATTGATCTTCACAGCACTAATGCTTTAATGTTTGTTAAAGTAATAACATACTGTACTGTATTGTTAAATGCAGTATAAAAGTGCAAGTCACGTGTTTCACATGTGAAGTCTGCAAAAACCACATCACATATCCATGTGCTTGTTCAGTCAGTTGAAAGATGTAAAACATCAGTTTTACTTATTTTAAATACTTTTAAAAAGTCAAAAATCCTAACAAAGAATTTGTTGTTTCCTTTCAGCTTTTCAAAAACACAAACAACAAGACAGGCAGGCCACTCTAATGATACTCACAGTTTAACACACAGATGAACACACAGCTGAGATTACTCACAATTTAATTATTTAGTAAAGAAATCACTATAAAACTGCAATATATGAAGTCAATATATGCTACATGTATGCCTCACGAGCTTCAAAAGTCAGTGTTTAAGCTAGAGCTGTATAAAACTCAATATGGGCATGTAAATTTATACCACGCTTAGCTTGGCACTGACACGACACTCATTGCTAGCTGAAACAAGCAGTGGTAACCAGATTCTCTAAAAGTAAAAGGATAAAACGTAAATACAAAGTAAAAGCTTCTACATTACATCCTGCCGTATAATAACATTACATCACAAACTCACATGAAGATCACAAGCTTTATTTTATGTTAGTACAGGTTGTGAGACAAGCAAGTATGCTATTAGATAGCTAGATCAACAAACTTACCACTAGTTAAATATAAACTTCTTGTATTTACTCACAGACGTTAATGCAACTCAGCTAGTTTTGAAAAACAAAATCAAATTACACTAAAGAAGATGATGAAGGCACTTTGGTGCCTAGTTTTACAGTAAAGCTGATGATACTATGTGCTTTAATGTATTATTACAATTATGGTACAAAAACATTCCATCAGCCATAAGACGTTTGAAGCAGTGTAATCTGCCTGTTCTGTAAATGGTTTCTCAGAATTCAACACAGGCTGCTCTATATAACTGTAAGCTGATTTTATTTAAAGGAATCTAGGAAATTAGTCGCATTGAAATCGTTAAGCAAATATAACTACTCTTTTCGAGTTATGTTTACTTACTCTCTGTAGAATTTAATACGTTTATTTTACTTAAAGGAATCTAGGAAATCCGTTGGCTTGAAAAGTTAAGTAAATATAGCTATTATGTTCAAGGTGTGTGCATATATAGTTAAAAGAGGGGAAAACGATCCAGCCACACTAAATCTTAAACAATCCATCATTGGCTTGTTTGTATTTGCTTAAACTTGCATGAGATTAGTGAATATAATACATTTAAATAAAGTTAACTTAAAATATGCTAAAAATGATCTTATTCAAAATGACTGAGTTACCATGGGAACAATTCATTTTTGAGCCAGTTTCAATTTTTCTGATTAAGTTACTCTGACTTTCTGTAGTATTTAAGTTGTGTTAACTTTATTCTTTCTTGAAGATTTGCAGTGAGGTTTTACAGAAATGGTCCGAAATTCTTGCATTAACCATTTTATTAATATGAAGTTTTGTTATTGCAGCAACATTATCTTACAAAGATCATTTTTTTTTCTATGGTGGTGTCTCAGCAGCCCAGTAAGACCGATTTACACTGATGGAAACAATCAGTGGTCAGGTTCTGTGTGTAGTCAAAATAATTGACTTCATGAACCTCAACCTAAGATTGATCTTGATGACCATAAAGTATCAGTATTAAGAAATGGTTCTTCTATAACTTCTATAACCGTAAAGGAACTCAGATAGAAGAGTTCTCTCAGCTATATGGGAGCAGGCAGTGGTTTTCTTGGGTCCTCTGGAATTCCTTAGTGTGTCAGAGGCTGTCAAAAGGCCTGCTTTCAGGGGGCTCTTGGCCATTGTGATAGCTGTGACACTGGAACGCTGCTCCGTCAGGAACTGGCCCACAATCACACAAAGCAGCAAGCTGAGCGGAATGGTCAGCAGTCCTGGAGACTTCAGCTAATGGGGAAGATGCATTAACCCTCACCTGAATTGTTAGCAGTTCTTTCACAATGTAGGCCAACGTAAATTTCATTACCTCTTGCTGACTGTGAACGCTTATGGACCCCGGGGACAAAACAGAGGGACACTGTGAAAGGAGGCTATTGAGTAATGTAGTGCTGCCTGTTTCCCATGGGATTAAGCAGGAATAAACATGTTTTATAGCATGGAAACTTAAAAAAAGACTTTTATATAATATTAGTAAGCTTTAACTTTGTTAGTACAATTATATGTTTATGATAGCAAAATTATTGTCGTCTTTTCAGGTGATAGATCAGGACCAAGGAATGAAAAATAATAGTGTAGCTGTATGCCAAGGCAGACAGGCATTAAAATGTGTTGAAATAGTTTTAATGGAAAGTAAAGAATATAAACAACACAATTTGTCTTTGTGTCAGAAATCAATACTTCGTTAACAACAAATGTCAAAACTTTTTTTTACAACTTCTTTGAATGAGCATAAATGATGCGAATGTGTATTCATTCATTCATTCATTCATTCATTCATTCTTACTTTCTTTCAACACTGGAAATGAGTAATCTTTCATTTTGTGTTAATGTAATTCAGTGTTAAAGTAAGAATTGTAACATGACTTTTTCTCCAAATCACTGTTTACAGTGATCTCAATCTTGCTGGTGTAAACAGTACACATTTAGTTATTTGCTAGTTGTAATCCTTCTGAAATCAAGGATATGGTATATGGAAAACAAAAAATGTCCTTGCAAATACAGGCTTGTGTCTCCTATTTATGGGATAAAGTCCTAGAACTGGTGCTAAAATGATGAATGATTCATGGTTAGTCCCATAAACTCCTAAACCCCTAAAATGGCCAGGCCCTGCCAGCAGGCCCAAAGTTTTATTACACACTTCTATAACTTAAGAACAGCCCAGCCAGTTTACACTGAAGTCCCTATAGTAACTGAGTAATAAGCCTTAGTAGGTAAAGAGCCTGGGATTTCAAAGGGTTAAACTACAGGCTTATTATTTGGCTATTAATCTCAACACTTATCCAATATTTTTTGTAATTGTAAATAGTAACATCTATGAAATAGATCTATCTACATCAAATCAAAAAGATCTTAAAAAAACATAGAAAAAAATTGTAAATACCCTTTCGAAAAATTTGAAATTTAGGGGTAAAGGTTTGAAAGACACCTCCCAACAGAAAGTGCCTTAGAAATGATGATTTTGTATATATTTAGCTTATTACTAGTCCAAAAAATGCCCTGATTTATGGCTTAAATTGATCAGAATACTCAATACTTATATCATATATTTATATCACCTGAAACATGATCAGTACAGCTCTGCATCACTGGAGCACTGTCTTGGGTTTATATAATGCACTCTCTATTCTATCAGCTTCTTCTCTCTGCACAGAACAATTTATGCAACTCCTCCTGTGGAAGTACAGATGATCTGACAGGCTGTCTGCAGGCACAGTCCTAGTCAGCTTTATCCACGCCGGCTTCATGTCTCTCCGATTTCCTCTGGTCTCTGTAATGGGAGCTATATGTAGCATGAGATCTTTTGCTCAAGGATGCTGCAGCATAAACTTTTCCACTGCTCATCTGACACACACACAGGAAATGCTGTCAGATGACAATGAAATAAAAAAAAGTGCCCTGAATGTGTCATAGTTACTAGACATCTGCAGTGAAGAGTGTTAATGGTGAAAGTCAACAGATGAGTCTGGCAGTGCTTTAATGAATCCAGACGCCAGTCTAACTGCTCAGATTGGAAGCGGGAATGCGACTAATGGTCAGATAAAACCAGCCTTTGAAAATGATCCCCATGCAGTCCAGACCACAACATGAATGCCTTAACAGATCACTTTAATGCAGGTGCTTATTCTGCCAAGGACAACAGCCACAAAACACATTTATAACAGGAGCTAAGGGCTAGATGCTTCAGCACCTCCTTACTGAGGACGATGAACCATGCAAAATAAACTACATCTCTGTACAGCACTGTGTTGATGCTGTAATAACAGCCCTGTGCAAAAGTACCCTTCATTTATTTAAATTCCAGTCAAAATTGCTGTTAATTGTGAGTTATTCGTTTTGCAGCATCAGAAAAAGGAGAAAACATATTTACCAGAAAAAGATAAAGAAGCCTCAGTAACTAAATAGAATGCACATTCTTTACAGCAATCCTCTGTATTTAAGGAATATAGTAGATAACTGGAAGATCATGCCTGTAAATTTATAGCAATTTTTTACAGTGAGAATACAAGTAGACTGCATGTACACAAACTGCATTTTTATTTTCAAAAGTACAGCATTTGACATATTCTGTTATTACCTCATCTTGCTCCTCCCCTGAATATCTTTGTCTATTGAAAATCATACAGCTGCTGCACACTCGTCCCCACAGCAAACAGGACAGCTCACAGTGTTGCAGCACTGCTCTGTACACGGCATCTTTAGAACAGAGAAACAAAACCTTTCTTTACAGGTTTGATTCAGCCTTAAGATAATTTAAAACGAACCATTCAGTGTGGATTTGATTCTTCAGGAAACCAAAAGTGGCTCTTCCATGCCGTTGCTCCAAAGAACCCTTTTTGGCACACCCGTGTCTTAGAGTTTATGTCACCAGCAAAGACATATAAGAATTCATACAGTAACTTAACAATTACATGTTGATGTATTGACAGCAATGTACCATCTTTAATGTTCAGAGATGCATTCAGAGTCCTTCAACACCACCTTCCCTTCCAGTTGTGTGCATGTGTGTTTTAAACTCTGCTCAGAATTTAGAACCATTCTTCGAGCCTTCAATTCACACTTACGGTTTACAGTATTCACTTCCAGAAAGCCAATCATTTCGACTCCATCTCATTCTCTTCATAACATTTCCCCACATTCAGGTACACTCTAATGGTAGACACGAGGCCCTATTTCTGTTTCAGGGTGAAGATACATGAGTTTCTTTACAGACATCAGTTTCAGTTCACTGCTGTACAAGCACGTTTGACAATGGGGGCCTTATTGATACTCCAGTGTCTACCACTGCTCATCTGGTGAAACATTAATCTCTCTCTTTTTTTCACTTGCTCACATGTCCCATTTCAGCAGGTTTCTTGTCCAGTTCATCTGATGTGGGTGACCTGATAAATTATTTACACCAGAATAATGTCCTCCAAATGTGTACAGTTTATGAGGTCGTCTATAAATAAAGATAGTACTTCAGAAACGTTGTATTCATTGTGAATTCACAATCATAACTATGCCTTCTGACATTTCCATGCATGTGAAATTCAAATGCACTAGCAATATACCATAATCAGAGATGAGCAATAATATGGAGTAACTGGTAATACACAATGGCACAACTATTCTTATTATTATTGTTGGTCATTATAGTCAATGTTACTGGAGAATGACTGTTATTTCATAGTACAAAGTTGGTCTAAAAGTAATATTTTGTTTTAAAACCGCCCAAAGACAAGGAAAAATATTGCCCTGGGTCTTTTCATCCAGAGATTATAAAACAACTCTTTATGAACCTGTATGATACTGCTTTACCTGAGACATACATAAACCATGTTGAACCATGTTAAACATGACATTTTTCACATGTTATATATGTTCAGGCTATTATACATCCAGAAACAACCAGTTTAATATCCCGTTTTCTCATGGTAGCCTTATACTTTTGATATATTGAATTTGAATAAGGTAACACTGGTCAGTTTATATGTCTTTAAAAATATATTGACTCTAAATAAAACACACCTCACACATCTATACTGATATTTGCAAGTGTCACATTGCATTTGTAACAGCATTATTAAGGCTTTCTGAAACTTAAGAAAACTCAATTTAACTCAGGTAAGGCGCTATGATGGTCAATAATCTCTAATTTCATAGGGAAAATGTCATTTTACATTCTTCAGGCGGCTTTAAATGTTTCTGGCCCATATTCCACCATTTACCATAACAGATAAGCAGTACAAATCAAATCAAACACCCTCTTTCTAACTCAAGCACTGAAGAACCAAACAGTTCACTTCACAGCTGGCAAGATGACGTTTAATAATGACCCCTCATCTCAGGTTCATTTCAGCTGGTCTGGCAAATACTCACTCAGCCTGAGTGACCATGACCTCACGGTATGTTTTGAATGGAAGCCTTGGATTAACTCAATAAAATAAACAAACAAGAGAGGCCAAACTGCTGGGATGCTGTTGTTCAGCTGTTTTTGAAAAGGGCTGTCCATTAACTGCACGGATCAATGACAGTAAACAGAGATGTCAAACAGCACCAGAATATCTGCTTGTACTCCAAAACTCACTGAATGCTTTTTTTTGATAGACAGTGATTTAACACTTCAGTTACTCTTTAGGCTTGGACACTTGCCCATAGGAAACCAAGATAGCCTTAGCCAGTCGTCCAGTTCATTTAATTAGGATTTAGCAACGCATTTACGGTGAAGGAAAGAGTATAAATATACAATGGCAAATTAATGCACTGCTGCTTGGACTGCCCAAGAAGTTTTTGCAATTTCACAGTGTAGGCTGGGTAGTCTGGACGAAAGAGGAAAACTTCAGGGACGTCTTACTGCATTAGTGTTAGAGAGGTACCCCTGCACAGTGAAAAGCCCAATGCTGAATTAACTCATTCAGTGTACAACCGGACTCTTGTTAAGACTTTAACAGCTAATTCAACACTGAAAAAATAAGGAGACGTATTATTGCATGTGACTCCACTCTGCAGCTTTTTGAATCAAAGAGAATATAAAAGGAATGGATGGATCATCAATTAGAACATGGCTGCTCTGATGAAAGACTAATTCATTTTTCAGGGACAGTGCTCACTTATAGACAGTATCGACAGAACTGTAAATGTTAGCCAAAAAGGCTCATTTTCATCTGCCGTCCCTGGTCAGATGTTAAGAGGCAAAGAATACATACGCAATTTAACTCAATACGGATGTCTTTCCATTTTCCACTGTAAATGATGGATCAGTCAAGTTAATATGCAGTGAATATTTCCATTTTACTTGTTCCTTTCTCCTGTGCTTTGTTTCACTAATTTCCATGACCTTCTGGATGCAGTCACTTTCTCCCTCCCCAACCAAAAGGTAGCTCGAGTCTGACTACTCAGAAGTCTTCAAAAGTACACGCTCAGACCTTCCTCTATGCCAGACAGCAGTATTTCCTCCACCAGGATTTGGAGAGTTTCCTCATCTTATCAGGTGTACGTTTGGTCAGTCTCTGCTGCTGCTGGCTGTCCATGTGCTGGATGCTGGCCAATATGGCCGCATCAAACACCTCCTTCAGGTTCTTCTGGGTAAGCGCCGAGCACTCCATGTAGGACACAGCCCGCACCTCCTCGGCACACATGCTGGCCTCCTGTGGCTCCACCGGCCGTTCTTTGTACTTGTCCAGCTGGATGAGCACGTTGACATCTTGCCGGAGGTCCGCCTGAGTGCCCACCAGCAGGATGGGAGCTCGAGGACAGTGCCGGCGGATCTCAGGGATCCACTTCTCCTGCACGTTCTGAAAGGAGGAGGGTGTGACAACGCTGAAACACAGCAGGAAGACATCTGCATTGGTGTAGCACAGAGGCCGCAGCTTGTCAAACTCGTCCTGTCCAAGAGAAGCAGAAAACACATTTAGTGAAAAATAGCAAGGAAAGACGGGGGAGACTTTCTCTATATATCTTACATTTATGTTGTTTTAACACATGAGTTTCATGAGATATTAATGAACTAATATACTCACTTTACTAATAGTAATTTTATTTTACAATAGCACAAAATAATGTGTGGGATAAGAATGCATGATGATTGGAATGATATAGTTCAGGTTGATACAGTTGGTTCACTTCAAACTACAAACTACAGCATCAAAAGTTTTAAAAAATGGTAATACTGTATTTGGAGCAATACTTGAGTATGTCTGCACAGTTGATGTCAGTATTCACAAGACTATGTAAGATCTTTTGTGAAGTAAATGACATTGTATTGATCTATGTGCCCTTAAACTGAAGTTACAAGCATTTGTTTCATTTATGACACTCTTATGAACAATCATTCCTAATGGAACTGAGTCCTAGATAACTGAATGAGGCCTAGTCAAGAGCACCAAATATTAGTCTGATGAAAGATTCGGATGCCCTCAAATTAAATGCCCTCAATGCATTATTATTTCACGTATGTCAGTGTGTTTGTTAAAGCATTTCCAAACCTCTCCTCGTTGCGTCAGAATATAAATTGCAGTTATCATCCAACACCTGGTTTGACTAAATAATGTTTCATTAAGTTAACTCAGGTGTGCTGCTGATGGAATGTAAAGGGCCCATATCCTACATTTTTCTTCTAGTCTCATGCAAACACTTGTATTTATTTTTTCCCCCTGAGGTCCACTCATAACATTTGTATTGTTTTATGTACCAAAACCAGCCATAATTACCCATTTTCCAACCTCTTTTTATCCCTTAAACAGGCTGTTTTTGTTACTGCGCTTTTAAGATTGGTGTATGTAAATGAGCTCTGTTCTGATTGGTTGCCGTGCATTATGCCTCATTCGAAAAGCTGACCAGGCTGAAACATTCCTGGCCGAATAGACAGATTTATATATGTTTATGTTTTTGTGACATTGTAACACAGTTTTGAAACGTAACAGTGTTTATATATTATATCACACTCTTTTATTTACCAAAAAAGAGAAGTAATAAATTTTCCAAGGTATGGTCCCTTCAACAAACATATGCAATGGCAGGGAGGCACTAAGGAGAAATCTGGAACCAAACCTGTGTTCCTCAAACTAGTTCACAAGATATCAGCTACATTTTTTAAAATAAGAAATTCATCATAATTTTATATATATTTATGTTTATTTGTATTTGTTCTAGCCCCGCAATGGACTGGCGACCTGTCCAGGGTGTATCCTGTCTTCTGCCCAGTGACCACTGGGATAGGCTCCAGAGAAGGATAAGCTGTTTAGAAAATGTGTGTGTGTGTGTGTTTTTTTTTTCTAAAGTTGCATAGTGTTTTAGTGCTGAGATAAATGGTTTGCGCAAAACTGTACACACACACATAGTTTGAGCTACTTTGACCTACTGGCTATGTGCTGAATTTTCAACAAATGACTGAGTCTATGAAGATAAGAGTATAGAATAACATTAAAGGGAAAACGTACAGTGAATAAGGCTTGGTGATAGTGATACACTTTAACACAGACTGGCCCCCAACTTCAATCAGCAAGCTTATCTACAGTAATGTGGCTTTAATCCTCTGAAGTGGCACGTTTCAAAACACAAGTGGCAAGTTGATTCCATATCTTGACTTTATCTGGACTTACGATGTCAGCCAGCAGCAAGATAAACTCTAGCATGCCAAAGCGAGCTGGTGTTGTTTATTAACATAGCTTTCCATCGCTTTCACTCTTCCTCAAAGGCTCCAGACTGGATACAGCTCATAAGCCAAAACTCATTTCCTCTCAGATCAGTTAATTGGGCACTTCCCACCACAAGAGAGGAAAAGTATTTATGATTCATACGAGTGAAGCATGTTTTTTTTAATAAAGTTAATCACTGTGGTTGTAGTGACACCAATACATATTTGAAAATAATTAAATGGCACATTTGGACATAGAAATATATGAATACTTTCTCAATGACTAACAAATATTGAGGCAATGTGGTATTTAATGTGGTATCTTATTCACTGTTTGTGTAAACAATAGCACGTTAGCTGAAGAACATAAGACGCTTTCATTTAAACAGATCTTTTACACTGTAAAAAGAGATGCATTGTATTGACATGATTCAAATGTGTGTATAATTGCCACATGAATAAAATACATTACATCAGCCCAATTTTGTCTTTCAGTTTACTTACTTTTGGCAGTAATTGCATTGATGTAATACATTTTATACATATGGAAATGACGTGATTTAAATCAAGTGAATTCAATACACCACTTTTTTCAGCACACTCTTTAACTGTTGCCTTATAGCAATTCACAGTATCTTTAGTTATTTAGCCAGAGTTTCTTCAAAAGTTTGGGTTCTGCTTAATTCTCTTTTTTCAAGAGATAGACACATAGAACCCTATGAACCCAAAAACAGAGTTAATTCTCTTTCCAGGTCTAGACAGCAGTGCTCCACATCCCTCTTGGCTAACTTCCCTGCTGACTCTCTCTCCAGTCGGCTCAGCTCCTTGAAAACACTCCGGGTCTCACGTTTCCACTGACTAGCCCCAGCTGTGCCTCAACTGAAACTAGGTCTGCTTTTTTCTCGGATCAGGACCAATTCATCACAATTAGTGAGCTTCCCATTTGCAGTCCCCTCGAGCTCGTTCCTCCTCCCTCCCACACAGCCAGGGACAGCTGACGTATCTGACTGGTTAACCTCATTTTTCTCACTCCCCCAGGATGAAGCTGAAAACCTGATCTGCATGGCAAACTCTCACTGAACTTTACCAAAAAGCCCTTATCATGAATCAGCAAAACAACTCTGAATCACCTCTACCCTCCTCACTCGCCCTCTGCTCATGGCCAGTCATGACTAATTACAACACGTTCCATGGTCTTTCACTTCTTCTACGTCTTCAGGATAAACAACTGGTTTAGGAGTTTACAGAAAGCAAACCGGGGCTGAAGTCAGCACGTTTGCATAAACAGCATGTGTCATATGTTTACACCATGACGGATGCCGGGGCCACACAGTGATAGGAGCAGCTTGGTGTGTGTTTGGTGATAACGAGGGCGCTCTGCTGACCTGGCCTGCAGTGTCACACAGCTGGAGTTTCACAGGCTTGCCATCCACAGCCACCACCGCTGCAGGGAGAACACATGCAAATTAGACAGACCATTCCACTGGGACCCCGCCACTATTTCACCTACTTTCATTTGGTGCATGGACTGTTATATATGGGTCATGGAGTAAGACAGGCCAAGCAGATATTGATCAAATGAACCCAACTCGTCTCAAATGCTTGTTTGATTAACTGGATAAGAACCTTATTATACCATATTCAGGTTTACTAAATATTGTAGGCCAAAAGATCTTTAACTAGTTTTGCAAGACAGTTTTAAAGCCCTCAGTTCGCTCTGGTAACTGAAGTTAATTACGTTAAGGGTGGATTCGGGTATTTCTAGACACAAGAAACTTCAGTTTGTTCAAACTTTATCTGACTGTTTCTAAATAAGCAATGCAAACTTTGATAATCCAGAATAAAATGATGCCCTCAGTTCACACTGGTAACTAAAGTTAACAAGGTTAAGGTTAGATTCGGGTATTTCTGGACACAAGGAACTTCAATTTGTTCAAACTTTATCTGACTCTTTCTAACTGAGCAAAGGACAGAATTTGGTAATCCAGAATAAAACAATGGGTGCATTTTGTATTACCGTATTACACTGTCCTGTTTTACACCACCATGTACCCCTCTTTTCCATAAAAAACAGTCTAGTACTGTGTTATACAGTGCTATTTAGAGTTCTACACTTTAAAACATAAGATTTTTTAGACTACATTTAGGGAAAATAAATGTTGCACTATGAATGACCCATTTAAACAGGTTCATCAACATGCATAAAAATCACAAGGAAAAATTCTGCCCTTATGAAAAAAGATCCATAGTAATACTGCAAGCATTTCTTCAGGATTATACAAGAATTTTATAGTGCATTCAGTCTGTAATTTACAGGACATTACACAAGTATTATAGATCACTATAAGACAGTATAACAGAAATATTACAGAAGATGAAATGTTACAGACTATTATAGCAGTCTCATAAAGCACTACAGAAGCTTTATTGCTTCTCATAGTATTGCTGTAGATCTTTTGGTTAGAGCGGGTTAACGGGTTATACATGTGGGTGATACCGAGATCACTGATCCGCTCCGCAAATACTAAACGCACATCACATTATTACATTTATTTACCTGAAAAGTTATCAAAAGCCGTTGGGACGTACTCCGTGGGATATCCATTGGTAGTGTAACTCACTATTAGACTAGTTTTACCAACAGCACCGTCCCCCACCAGCACGCATTTCACCTTGCGCTCCGCCGCCGAGCTCAGACGAGCCTTTTTGGACAGATCCTTACTGCGGAACCTTCTGGGCGGAACCGGTGGGACTGCAGTTTCTGGGACGGGTTTGTACTCCCCAACACCCTGCGGAGGCATCGCTGAAAAGCCCTCACACTGATCCTAATCTCGCCAATCCATTTGTCTCCACGCTTTGCACCAGCCGATAGCAGTTCAGACTGACTGGGTCCAGTATCTCAGCAGTTTCTCCACAGCCAAATAAAGAGCCATGCAAAAATCACTTCCAGTGAAATAACAACGCGCCGCCTAAAAGCGAGCAGAGAGTCTTTGGAATAAAAACAAAGTCTGCGCTCTGGTTTCGGGTGAGGACGCGGCTCCTCCACTCCTCTGCTCGCTCAGATGATCCAGCCCCATCGCTTTACTCCAACAGAATGACATCATCCAGAGAAAAAGAAAGAGAGGGAGAGTGGAGGGAGATCTCAGACTCATCCAGGCCAGTGGAACAACTCCCCTCTACTGTGGAAAGACAGAGGAGCTGAACTGAGCCTTTATACAAGCTGCTAGTAAATCTATCACTGGGCAAAACAGGCCTATAATGAACTTCCATTAACCCTTTCATGTCCTTCAACTAATTTAGCCCGATAAGGGAAAATGCCACAGATTGGTCTGGACTGATTAAATTTTACACTGTTAAACTTTGAAGAAAAAACCAACAGTTCCTATTTTATTTTTGGGTGACAATTTCCACACTGTTCATCTCACTATTAAATTAGGATATTATATTGTTTTATTAAAATCAGTAGTTTTTTGTGATCAGAATACTGAATTTAATTTGATCAGTTAAGAGACTTGATTGAATTATATGTCACTTTTTAGCGCTTTGATCGGTTGGAAACTTCAGATTTGTGTTCAGAAAGTTCGACAAGACATGGTCCCCGAAGGATAAGCGGTTTAGATGTGTGTGTGTGTGTGTGTGTGTGTGTGTGTGTGTGTGTTTCAAAAGACACAGTAGAGCTGTTGTGGACCTGTTTTAGTGTGTTTCAGATTTTGATGAATATTGCTATCTTCTTCATTAAAGTGTCATAGTCTACCGCGAAAGCAGACTGACTACATATTTATATTACGGTTTGTAAATGAAACTGATATGATTACCAGCACTACCAGGACACAATTCATGTATCTGACAAACAAAGTGATTCTGTGCTAAGCAGTTATAACCGTTTGGCTCACAAACGTTTAGCTCAAGCAGGCCCCCTAGTGGACGTGCGATCAACTAAACGAAATCACTGCGGAGAATCGCCGTCGCCGTGTCCGGATATCATACAATACCGCTCTGCCCTTTCTTTTCTGTATAGGGGCATGCATGCTGGTATGCTTTCTTTGTATTAATAAAAATGAGTGACAACACTAGTTCGAGGCTGGTCACTGTCTGTAAAATACACAGAAAAAAAAATTATTATATATAGTAGTACATATTAAAATCAATATAAGTCAAATGAATTTGCTTTTTCTAGCCTCAAACTAATGTCGTTACTTAGTTAATCTCTGGGTTTACTATAGGAGATAAAGGAGGTCTCTATGAAAGTACACTATTTTATTAAACCAGTGATTCCTGCAGCTGCTGTAAAGGGGCGGGCACTTTTCGTAGAGTCTCCTGTTTTACCCGAACTGTACTGCAGACGGACCCAGGAAAGCACATTGTAGGGGACAGGGCACTCGACTCCTGGTGATGATGGCTGGAGATGTTTCAGAGTCTGAAAGAGAAACTGGGGTTGTTTTGGGATTTTTAGAGGAGGCAGAGCCTTGGCAGCTGCTCAGTGCCCAGTTTCCTAGTAAAGTCGGAGGGAAGCCCGCATGGTTGAGCCAGCTGAGTCTGCCAGAGCTCCCCGAGTTACTATGTGAGAAATGCCAGCTCCCTCTCGGGTTCCTCTTACAGGTCTATGCTCCGATTGTGGGCTTCGAGCGAAGTTTTCACCGCTCACTGTTCGTGTTCTGCTGCAGGACACCAGCCTGCTACACCCGGAACGACAACCAGTGCTTTAAAGGTAATGTCACTTCGACTACAAAAACATGTGCGGCTGCTTTACACTTAACATTGTTAAAGGGGGAATTACGGTTTGAAACTGGCATTTAAATTGTGTAGTTTTACCCCTCAGCCACATCGGTTTGACACAATTCATGATTTTGTGTCCATCCTTTAGTCTTGTCGCACTACAATTCCCAGTATGCTTTACGCAAATTAGTCTACATACTAAAAGCAGAAAATTAGATATGTCCATTTTTTGTGAAATTTTGTGAAATATATATATATATATATATGTAATATATATATATATATATATATATATATATATATATATAACATTACAATTTAAATAATTATATTAAAACCACATGAATCGAATTCATTTTTTTCCAACAATACTCTGACCTAATTATCACTAAAAGATTTTTTTTTTCTTCCCTTAGTATACAGAAGTCAGTTACCAAGGAAAAATAACTTTTACCCCTATGATCCACCACCTGATGAGGAGCCAGCTGACAGTGGGGATGAACATCGCCTGCTGAGCTCTAGTATTAAACTGTGTTGTCTTTGTGGCTGTCCTGGACAGAAAGCTTGTTCCCGCTGTCATTCAGTTACCTACTGCAGCAAAGAGCACCAGACCATAGACTGGAAACAGCGCCACAAGAACGAGTGCTCCGCTGAGGGTATTCCATTAACTTTACATATGCAGTTGTTTTGTAAATATCTTTAAAGCTTTTCTGTCATCCAAGTCACTGAATTGGGACAGCTCGACTTTTTAATAACTACCACTGAACATAATCACCTTAACTAAACTCCACTTTTTTTGTCTGAACTAATTTTACCAACAGCTTCCTCTTCTTCAGAGGTACCGAATTCATTTCTATTTCCTGAATGGGAGCTGGTTACAGAGCCTGAGAAACTTCCAATAAAGGGTGAAGAGTCGCTTGACTCAAAATGTTTAGAACAAGTGGATCGTGCTTCTTCAGGTAACTTTGGGAAAAAGTTTGAGGTTCTAACATTTGGATTGGCTATTGCTGTTAAGGTTGGTGACAATGGTGATCTTTTTTACAGAACTCGATGAGAAGGAGCTGGAAAGTATGGCCCACCATGAAAGCCAGGACAGTAAAGTGTTTCAGAAGTTTAAGAAGCGCATAGCTCCAGAGCCAGAGCAGGTTAGTCACAAACAAGTAGTTTATCACAATCTTAACTCCTTCCTATTACATAGGACGTACACTTTGAGTTGTGCATTACAATTTTTCTGAAATCTAAATCCAATCCAAGAATCATTTAACTTGATAAATACATTAACTGTGTGTGTCTGACACACTGATTCTTGCTTGTAGGTCTTGCGGTATTGCAGAGGAGGGGCTCCACTTTGGGTGTCATCTGAGCATGTGCCCAGTACAGCAGATGTACCAAAATGCCCATGTGGTGCCAACAGAAACTTTGAATTTCAGGTATTTGAGAATTATTTGTCTTAATATTAGTTAATATAGTATACAGCACAATAAATCACTGTCATTTTCTTATGTGTAATGATTTAAACTGGAACTTATGTTAATTTCAGATCATGCCTCAGTTGCTGAATTACCTAAAGGTGGACAGACCAGATGCAAGCATTGACTGGGGAATGCTAGCCATCTACACATGTACTGACAGCTGCGACCAAGGCAACAAATATTCCTCCGAGTTCATTTGGAAACAAGACTTTTCAGAGGATCGTCCTCGTTAACTTTACACAGATAGAAAGAGATTCTTCTGTTAATAAACGTTTTTGGAATTAAGAAATGGCTTAGACTCAGTAGTCAGAAGACTAGGATTTAAAAAAAAATAATGTAAACAAATTGTGGTTGTCACTGAATTAAGTAGGGATCATGAAAACAGGGTGGACATCTACTTAAAAGGCAGAAGTACACATACAACACGCACTGTAAATGGATATGAAATATTTATTTGCCTTTGTTTTAAAGCAAATCAACTGAGGCAGAAAGTTACATTTGCAGTGCTTTACAAGGGGCTGGGCAACCCATATAATGAACAGATGTGTAGTTGCACAAAAACCAAATTCCAGGCTCTTTGCCATCCCAAAACTTGCATGAATATACAGTAAATGATCTACAAGGGCTAGAAGCTTCAGTTCTTGCACAGACAAAAAGTACACACAGTCTCAATAAATTGTTTCTGTACTCTTTGAATGTCATTACTGGTAATACTAAGGAAAGCCCCTTGGTTACAAATACCTATTATGAGTTTTCCTACGGTTCTGTAATTTATTATAAGGGTTAGGGCTGAGTGGAAGACTCACAGTACTTCAGTGAATTACATTGAAATGACAAGAAAAAACTTTGCATTCAGACCCAATACACAAAATGTCAGCCTTAAACCATATCCTTGTCAAATCGGGTTTCAACAACCAAACTAATCAGTGCATCATCTCACCATCAACAGCTTACTCGCTATGGGTCCAAAGGAATCTTAACTGCAATCCTGACAGACAATGCTGCGATTTCCAACACTTTGATTGTAACTTGACAATGTGTCACCGCTCAGGAACTCCAAGAAGTAACCTGCCAGCTTATTAAAGGAATGTGTGGTATAATGTACAAACAGATGGCAGAAACATTAAAACCAATAAAGTACTCATTTAAGAGTGTGGACTATGACAGCCACAAAAATAGCTGAATAAAAAATTAAAAAGTAATAAAAGTTATTTGCATTCACTGTAAGTGAAAAGAATAAGTCCGTATTTACATATAATTAAAACGAAACTAGAAGAACTGATGTCAGTTCTGCCAAACAGAGACAATAGGGAAGGTGCAACCAAATACAACTATGTTGTCTTCCTGAATCCTTTTAAGATAGGGTAAATATTTTCAAATGCTTCATAGATTTCACCTCTGACTTTTGCACCTGAGAACAGAAATAAAAAATAAAATTAACCAATTCAAGTGTTTTAATATCTGCTACTTCAAACTGTATTTGTTGCAAAATACTTTTTACTTTGTTGCAAAGTACTTACCAGTGAGAACAACTTTGCCAGAAACAAATATTAAAAGGACAATTCTGGGTTTGATCATTCTGTAAATTAACCCAGGGAATAATTCAGGTTCATAACTGAAAAAGAGGAGACATTTTAGAGGGTTAGCCACAAACAATAAGCTTTAAATTTACGCATTTGATAATGGATACTGAGATATATAGAATAATTGTTGCACTTACTGACAAAGGGGAGTGCAAACAATGCTACCACTTTAAATAAATGGCCCATTAGCAGGTTAAGCCTTACCACTTCCTGCCACTTGCAACCTTTGCCTGCCTATTGTGGCTCTCCAGAAGAATGTTGTTTGGGCACAAAACCCAGCATTACACTTGGTCAAATACATTCACCAAATAAAAATTAAGTACTGCATTCATATTTTATTATACCTAAAAATAGTCTATTCATTCACATTCCTCATTCAGACTTACTCAAGTCCTGCTGACTTTGTTACAACATAAAAAAACAGCATTAGAGGACAGACATAAAAACAAACCTGCTGAACTGCTGATGGGTAAGAACCAAGCCCTCCAGTCGAATTGGGAACTTTACATCACAACTTCCAACCATGTTTTGAATTTTGAAGTCCAAAAATTTGGCAGGGAAACCCAGTTTTTGAACTACTCTGGCATACTTCCTGGCTGCCAGGCGAGACTGTTCCTCACTGCAGGGACAAGGCAACAAATGCACACATTCACTACGGTTCAGGTTTTCTGTGATGGGAGAGTTACATATCAACTGGACAGTAACAAGGTAATTTCCTCAGCTTTGCGTACTTGAAGGGGTTTAGATTGTATGTGTAATTGGCATTAGGTTATCACATTTATTGCTATCCTAAACTGAGAGCCTGGCATGTTGCTTTAGTTTTAGGAACTGCAATTGGGGGTTGGGGCAATATCACAATGTTATTGTGATAAATTACATCACAATATGCTTTTTCTGAGTATACTGTGGACACCACCAGTACCAGCACTAAAGTAACTTTACAAATGTTATTCTTACCTCTTGGCTCCTGTACACACCATCTTGCCTGAACTGAAAATCAAAGCTGTTGTTCTGGGTTCTCGTATTCTCATAATGACAGCAGCAAAACGCTAAAAAAGAAAGAACAACTGATAAAGATACCACATATTCCACATAATGAGCACTACTGTTCTTGCAGAATTCATTTATAAAAAAAAACAAAAAAACAAAAAAAAACAAAAAAACTCAAATGCTCAGAGCAGCGGTTCCAGTCCTCATCCACAAGTATTCCTTCTCTGAACATTTCACAGATTTCACTGCTCCTAAAATACCATCATGCCACTATGTCAGTGTCAGTGCTGAGTTGAGAATGCACCACCATCAAAACAACATCTGGACAAGAGTGGTCTTGTGGTCAGAAACTGACCAATGATAGGGTGGATGGAGCTGAAAAACAGTGCAGCAACAGAAGAACCGCAGTCTGTAACTGTGCACCCATATAGTGGGGCTATAATTTAAGTGGACCTAACTAAATGGACAGTGAGTGCAGATACAAGGTACATTAAAAAGTACATAATTCTGTATATCAATGTTTAGAAATTAATCAAAAGGACCTCATACAACACTAAATAACCATCCATTCAGAGTGTCAGTGTGGAAAGAATAAAGTAAAGAAGTTATATTTGGAATGTGTATCTACGGCCTGACTGTGTGTGTTTCATGGTCATGCATGCATGTGTGTGTATATGAAAGAGACAAAAAAATGAATTTCAGGGCTGCTCTAGTTGTTCTAATACAGAGTGGCCTCCCATTACAATGCATTGGATGTTCCTAGACAGCACACACCTTTTGTGAGTGTGTGTTTCTGTAAGTAAATGTTATTAAAATATTTAAAATATTTAAAAGTGATTGAGATATTGACACATTTTATCACTTCATGAAAAATAACTGTGATAAACAAAACATTAATATGTAAAAATAAAAATGTGGAAAACAAAATACACAATTAGAAAAATCAGACACTGTAGCCAAACAGTTGATCATTTTCAATTTCAACTAAATGGCATTTTCCAGTGATCTGGATAACGTGCACCAAAAGTGAGGTCTGAAAAAAATGTCAGTTACCCATCACCTTATTGGACAGTCTTGATCTTAAATAATCTAGCTAACTGACAAATCTTTTGTTAATATAATCTGTTCAGCAGAGCTAATGGTGCAGTTTAGCTCCAGACTAGTTTGGATTATGCTCACATTAATTAAAAAAAACAAAAAAACAACACAATTCAAAAACAATCCATCTGTGAGATAATGCTGTAAACTGGCTGAGGGAAGGTTTAAAGAATGACACATGAATAGCTATTACCTTAGGATTATACTCAGCGTTCCTGGCTCGGAGTGCTATTGTCTTCAGGTCAAGCTTACACCCCAAGTTCACCGTTGACACAATATTTCTTTATCATATGCAAAACATACATGAATAGTAATTAGTTACTGAACTATTAGGTCTGTAGTTTTGAAACAAATATGGTAATGCAAGATGTAGATAGCTACTGCACATCAACCAGCACAATTAGCAATGGAAAGTGAAAGAACTCACTGTAACTGGGGGACAATGCCAGAACTCTCTGAGGCAGGTGTGGCAGGTGTGACTGGTGTCATAGGGGTCAGAGGGGTGGTGTAGAGCGGGGTGTTGCCTGGCAGTGCTGTGGTGGTGGAAACTGCCTGTGAGTGGTACAGCTGAGGCGTCTGGCCTGATGCTCCCACTATCCCACCCTGCTGCTGAGAGACTTGCTGCTGCTGTTGCTGCTGTTGCTGCCTCTGCTGCTCCTCTAGGATTGACAAACTGTTTGTGTTCTGCACTGGTTGTGGTGTAAGCCCTGTACCATATGGCATCATTGGGCTAAACATGGAGAGACCAGGTGTCATAGCTCCCTATGAAGGATCACAAGTAAAGATGTTGGATTAAAAAGGGTAAAACTTAAAAATGATTTATAAATAAGATGTATAATAAATCATGTCTGAGTTTACATTATCCAAAGTACATTTGGATATGTGTATATACAGGAGTATATACACTGCAAAAGAACAACTTAACCATTGACCTAGATCTAGACGATGTATCTTCTACACTGATATACCATTATATTCATACACTGTGATACTGCTTTTCAGTTTTGTGTCATTTTAGCAACATATCTGACAGATAATGAGTATCACTTCCAAGACATAACAGTTTAAAACCGAAGAAAAAAATGTAGATTCCCTTTCTAGAATTATCTGCTTCTGTCTAGTTAAGGTTAAAAGTACTGTGTAAGGTTCTCTCTGGTGTCACTTTAAATGAAGAAAAACTTTCTAAACAAAACAAGTTATGCCAGGTGTGGTGTGTTTATCAATAGTACCCAGCACTACATTAACCACAATTATTTGTGGTTTGTAGTTCAAAAATGGTTCACATTCTGTTGGAAAACTACTTTTTTGTCTTATTGGACTGAAGGAGTATTCTGTTTAGTACTCCGTTTACCTGAGGAGATGCTAAACTTTGTGGAAATGGGGGCAAGCTGTTGTTCTGCTCCATGCTGTCTAGTTATGAAGCCAGCAGCAAATGAATAATATCAGCACAGGCCGGACCAGATACTGGGTTCAGATGTCCAACAGCTTTCAGTTATGAAGACCTTGACCAAAAAAACAGAGCAATTAGAAGATGTACACATTGGGTCAAGCATGCCTGCAAAAAAAGCAGTAGGTTAAAAACCTACTACTGAAACAGTCCTACAACTGTGCTGCCAAAAACAAAGAATTCCTGCACTTTGCATTTCTCAATTATATAGAAACTTCACCAGCATTTTCAAGTTCAAGTTCTACTTGACCAGAGCTGGATTTTCTGAAAGCATCTTCTCACAAAACCTATTCTTAAATGGTGAAATGAGCATCACACTGACCACTCACTCCACCAGTTAAGATGTTCTTGACACTTATAGGTTTTAGACACTGTTTTTATGTTTCCCGCTATCTGCACACAATACACAATTACCTGTTACCCGTTCTTCCTCAAACTGGGAACGGCATTATTTTTAGAAAAAGCCAGTAAGAATATGCACTTTTGAACCAGTCTACTATCCCGCCAAGTCTAGTGCTTCTTGACAGAAAAATACAATAACCTGCTCCCCTATTTATAAGTGAAAGCCTAAAATATGCGCGATAAGGAGCTGATTACAAAAAAAAATGAGTTACTGAAGAGCTCCTACAGTGCAAACACATACATGCACAACAGATGAGAATCGTTCAGTCGTGGATGAAACGCTAACTAAAGGAAATCAGTTCACAGAGTGAATGAATGATAGAGCGCCGATTTACACTGATATTAGCGAGACAGCTACTGAACATGAGTTACCTAAAGGGAACAATGGGACGGTCTGTAAACGTTTAGGATATGCAAAATGCATTAGTTAAAACACTGTAAGCCGGTGAGATACCGACAATAAGGTTAGTCAGTAAGGTTGGTCAGCTTCCGTAAGAAAATGCAGGATCTCAGCTGTTCGTTACTAGCCGCGCTAACGCTAGCCTGCCTGGGGTCGCTAGCAGCGCTCGAACAGACGGGGTTGGGGTTACTACACTATCAGAAACAGGCGCAAACGCTGCTGAAGGACCCATATGGTTGAACAAACCAGTGGACTCTGTTAATTATCCAAGTACGGTGTAAATGCGAGGAAGTGCGTTTAGTCTTTACCTTCTCTGTCTGTCTCTGCCTGCGCGCAAAACATGAGACTCTACAAGTTCCGCCAGTTTTACTGAACTACTTCCGCTGTTTTATATAATACGTGCCCCGAAACTGAAATAGGCTAAATTAATCAAAGGGATTCTTTCAGTATAAAAATAAAATCAAAGCGATGACGAAAGCAATAGTGTATTAAGTATAGTTATTTGAAGCTAATGAAATGAAACAAATTATTTAATTGTAATAATTCGCTTAAAGCGACCACGGAAGCACTGATTCAAGCGAGACAGCTAACCAAACGGCCAATGGTACAAGAAAAGCATTAAACACAGGTCATAATTATTTTTCTCATCCTCCTTTCTTAGCCGTTGAGAGGAAGGTTTGGTAAGCAGAGACTGAAAAAACCTGCAGGATGGCAGCAGTGGGGACTTGGTCCTTCTCACAGCCCGCAGTAGAGAAAATGCGGTGTATGATTCTAGCTGGACAGAATGCCACTGATGTTGTAGAGAGGGCAATAGCAGGTAAATAAAATGCCGTTATGAAGTGTGGTGTCGGAAGAAAATGTGACTCTCATTACTCCATTCCTCTACAGTGTTACAGATTAACGGTCTTCAAATTTGCCTACGCAGCTGTGCAAAAATGATTTTTGGGCTGACTTATTTGTTTGCTTAGTTTGGGGTTTTGGAGTGCAAAAAACATTCGTAGAGCATTTGGTGCAAACTTAAACTATACCATACCATTTGTTTTATTTTGTACCACTGCATACTTTTAAGCAAGTAAGTGGACATTTTGTTTGTGTTGTAGAACGACATCTTGGACAACGTGGCTGAACTGACTTCATTATACTTAACCAGATATTCTGAATACCTTCAATAGTGTGGGCATACGTAGGGAAGAGATTATAATATGGTCGAGTTCAGAGTATAATAAGTATAAGATGTATGGTGGCATACACTGCAACATTTTTGTTATTTTAAATACAAAAAATGTATACAATGAAGATATAAAACCTATAAACATGACATCAAAAGGTAGTTTTATTTGATTTATTTAGTATTTCAAATATAGATAGATAAATAGATGTGAAATTTGGGTGCTACAGTAGCTAAAGAACATGGAGCATTCATACACAGAATGAATATACAGAATTACACATTCTACATGATACACATCACAAAAATATCAGTGCATAAACAATACAGAGTGTGAAAGACATTGACAGAAACATTTATGGTGTGGTGTGTGGGATGTGGGTGTCATCTTAAATACTGGGTTTAACTGCTACATACATAGATAGATAGATGGATGGATGGATATATAAATAGATAGATAGATAGATAGATAGATAACTTTATTAATCCTAGAGGGAAATGCTGCTATTGCGGCACTACACAGCACAGTAAAGTGCAACACATGAGCCGTACACTATTTACAGATATGTAAAAGAAAGTAGAGATCAATAATAGAATAAAATATACTAAAACAATGAGTAATGTGCAGTACAAAAATACAAAGCAATCTCCTGTGCAGGAGATTACTATGCAGGAGACAATGCAGTGGTGCCTGTCCCTCCAGTGAATGAACTACTGACTATGGACTGTAGCAATAAATGTTAACAGTTGTACAGTTTACCTTTAACAATTTGACATTTATGGATAAGGCATGCAAATATGAAGTGGTTATAAATACAGCACAAAATAATTTATCACACTCACATAACAGGTTAATACACACTATATGGCCAAAAGTATGTGGACTCCTAATTATTGTGTTCAAGTGTCTCAGCCACACTCATTGCTAACAGGCGATCTCCATTGACATTGGCAGTAGAATGGGTCTTATTAAAGAGCTCAATGACTTTAAACATGGCGCTGTCATAGGATGCCATTTTTGCCCCATGTCAGTTTGGGAAATTTCTGCCCTGCTAGATCAGTCCTGGTCAACTATAAGTGATATTATTGTGAAACTGATGTATCTAGAAGAAACAGCAGTTCAGCCACGAAGTGGTAGACTATGCAAACTTAGAGTCTGGTCGCCGAGTGCTGAAGCGCATAGCATGTAAAAATCGACTATCTTCTGTTGCATCACTCACTACAGAGTTCCAAAGTGCCTTTGGAAGCAACATCAGCACAAGTGTAAGGAGCTTCATAAAATGGGTTTCCAAGGCCGAGCAGCTGCACATAAGCCTAAGACCATTAGGCACCAGGCATCAGTTGGAGTGATGTAAAGCACATCACCACTGAACTCTGGAACACTGGAAATGTGTTCTCTGGAGTGATGAATCATGCGTCAGTATCTGGCAGTCTGATGGATGAATCAGGGTTTAGTGGATGCCAGAAAAACGCTACCTACCAGTGCCAACAGCAAAGTTTGGTGGAGGAGGGATAATGGTTTGGGCTCCTTAGTTTCAGTGAAAGAAATGTTAACGCTGCAGCATACAGAGACATCTGATGTCCACATATTTTTGGCCATACAATGTATTAGGGAGTATGCTTTTAATGCCAGAGTGTAAAATCATTTTGCACAATAATTTTGTGCTATTTCTAATGTACTATTTCTACAGCTCTATTAAACACATGAATGAGAAATTTCTATAGGCAAAATTTGAATTAAAAAAATTTGAGTTAAAAATTGTTTCACAGGTAAAAATACAATTTGTAGGCTTTTTTGACCCTATATTTTTCCAAGAAGGCATTATTACTGCACCCTTCAACCATTTTCTTGGATGCAGACAGTTACATCTAAATAACTTATAAAAAAGTACAGATGTGCTGTGATCCCCTCAAGCTATAAACCAAAGAAAAAAACTCTCCAAACAATAATTTTGTAGGTGCATAAAAATCTGAGTTTTCTTTATGAAAAGGCCTGCACACTAATACAATGTTACATGTATGAATAAAAATTGTTAAATTAAGATCTTTAATAATGGGAAATTATGCAGAAAAATGCTGCAAACATTTAAGACAGTAAATAGAAATAGTGAATTTCCAAATGAACATTCCTAATGCTCTAGAAAGTCTTTTTTTAAGGTAATATATATGCAATTATATATGCAATTTCAATTTCAAAGATAAAAACATTCTCACTCTCACAAGATGAAGAGCATACCCTCCATTAAATGAACCTTTTGTGAGAATTTGTTAAAAAAGAAACTGGTTGATTTAAAGCGAAAAAGTGAACCTTGTAAGGATCATTAATAAGGTTCACTACTTAAATGAAAAAAAAAATGAAAAAGATTTCAGTATTTATTGCTATCAGTATTTATTCTTTTGCAGATGTTGAGAATGATGTGGAGACAGGCCGTCATGTAGTTGGAAGAGGAGGCTTCCCCAATAGCAGGGGAATATTGGAGTGTGATGCAGCAATAATGGAAGGTGTGCCAGGGCGATTTGGTGCAGTAGCAGCATTACGAGGGTAAAGGGTGACATTGATGTCATTTAAAATTGAAGTGGCTTCACATAATAAAATACATCTGAATGGCATATTATAGTACCAAATGACATATTATCATTAATAGATATGGATATTTGCAAACAATAAATATCTTTTGATTGTCTCTGAAGTACGTTTGTTTGCAGCAAGTTCTATGTTTTGTCACAGTATATCTGTTTACAGCACATTATATGAACTTTCTGTGTTTTTGTTCTCAGGGTTGGGCAGCCATGTCGGGTAGCACGCAGGGTAATGGACAGAAGCCCTCACAGCTTTCTAGTTGGTGAAGGAGCTGAAGCCTTTGCACGAGAAGAGGGCTTTACCATTGAACCCAATGACACCATGCTCTCTAGCCATACATTTGCTGCCTATCAGGTACTCACATCCAGTGTTGGTTACAGCATAGGAGGTTTTATTAGGTTTCTTCATTGCAGTATCAGTATTATCTGTGTATCATTTTTCAGTATTTCAGTATTTCTGTCAGTAAATCAAATATTAAAATGTCACAGTGGCTTACGATGCCTTGTTGTTTTTCATGTGCACTTGAAGGACTTCCTTGAAAAGAGGAAGCAAGCTGATGGCCATGATACTATAGGTAAGCATCATGCTGAGCCAGTTTCTTTTCTCTATCTTCAGTTATTGAAACATTTTAAGATGCACAAACTGAGCAGTTTTTCTTCAGGCAAACTATTCAGGCCATTATGTTTGGTTCAGTTATGCATAATCTGAAACACAATTTGAGACTGGAGTTCACAGTAAGGCCTAGGCTATATCTAAAAAGGATTACAATACCACATTTTCTCATCGATTATATTGGCAACCCTCGCAAACACACAAACACAAACTGCAGTGTAGATCTACTGTCTAATTTTAGCTTCAAGTGTTTTTTGACATTAACTAATTTAATTGAAAATCACATATTAAACAATGTAATACTAAGTAAATCAACACTGAAAACTATTTTGTTTTATTCTCATTTTGAAAGTTGGTACTGCAGTCACGTGCGTCAGATTCTGACCTGCGTATTAATAGTGCCCCCTGCTGGAGAAACTTCAGACTGCTACACATCCAAGTGCTTTACATATAAAAAATGCAGAGGTGTTTTTCATCAATATGACAGAGGTGCTCTGGAGTTCAGCTGTAGGTGCATTTTGGAAACCATGAACTATTTTCATAGTTAACAACTTATCTGAACCTTCTGAAGGTATGTCTGGGAGACCCCCAGCAGTGTAGATGGCTTATTAATGCCCCATAAAAATCAGTTTTAACAGTAAAAGGGAGTAAAACGTTAAATATACGTATTATTTAGTATAATTTAGTAAGTAGTTTAAAATAGTTAGTTCTCTGATCAAAACACCAGTTATCACCTTTGAACTATCAAATATGGTCTTTGGCTTAATTGTTATCACTGATATCAGAATACAACCCCAGTTCAAAGACGTAGTGTAGCTACTGTTGCGGTTTGAATATTATTTCTAATTTTTTAGGAAGGTCTTTACTGGATGTTTATTGGTTAGAGACTGTTCCATCTATCCAGTGCCTAATTACTTTTGATTACTAATTGCTTAGTTTTGATTACTAATTCCCCTTATTCATGTCATAAGTGCAATCAACCATCGTCAGTCAAAAGTTTCAGACTCAATGTAAGCAGTGATCAGTAATACAATTAAAAATACAATTCAGTTGTAATGCTAGCTCTTTGGTCTGCAACAATGAAGGAACGTTTTAAACAATTTGTGATAGGCCAACTCACTAAATAAATGACTAAATAAATGAAAGATACATGCATGTTTTTGTAACTACCATGCTTTTCCTTTCAGGCCTCATTGCTCTTGATCTTACAGGAAATATCACAGTTGGTGAGATTTTCCATTTATTTTCATATTTTGGTATTGCTGTTTACAGCAGTATTGTACTTTCCCCCAGAAATTCACTTCACTCTTGAAAAAGTACAAGTTGCAAGAAATTGATATTGATATTACCAATATGACAAATGTAGCCATAAATCACCTTTGTAATTCATGTCAGTGGGTGAAAATAAACATTTATGTAGGTGCAGCACTAATAAATGATGAGCATTTACCTTACTCTAGATCTAGAATTGGGTTGACTTCTCCATTTAAATAGTTTCATTAAACAAAAAAAATGTATGCTAATGTTGAGGAGTGTCATCCAAAGATGACCTTGCCTGTATTTTCCTAGTTTAATAATGGACAAAGGGTCCTTGATTGCTGACAGCCACATAATACATAAACCCTATGCATATACATCATATATCACATACTTTATTAATCCTGTAACCTAACTTCTTCCTTTTTTTACACCATTTGAACATGCCTGCTGTCCTTTTCATTGAAATGGTCCAAAATTAGAAATATAATAGTATAGAAATGGCGCAATAGAATAGAATAGCATAGAATAGAATATAAATGGTCCAAACTTGCTTGAAATACAGTCTTGTTACATAAACCTATTAAAGTTATGATTTGCTAATGCTTATAGGAGTTTCAACATCAGGAGCTCCCTTCAAGGCTCCAGGGAGAGTGGGAGACTCTCCACTTCCTGGCTGTGGCCTGTATGCTGACCACACGGTAGGCTCTCATCTTGCAATGCATTGGGGACATTTTTGTAAGTTGTCTCGTGTTATAGAAAGCTGGATTCAGAATACTGCATTTTATAAGCAAATTCCTTATTCACCTGTATTCACCTTGTTATGAAATAGAATTTTCCAGTGCTGTCTCAGAGTTGAGGAAGTGTGGGTTTAATTCTGATTTTTGTATTTTAGGTTGGTGCCGCTGCAGGTTGGTGTTTTCTATTTTTTCTTCATTTGAATCATTTCACTTAAGGTAAAGTATGACTCTGAAATTAGCCGCTAAAAGGACTGTCTCTGTACGCTAAGAGTATTACAGTTTATGCCAATTTCAAGCTTTTGACAGGACAATCTAACAAAGGAAGTTGAACCTGGACAACGGGATATATATATTCTGTCAGTCTTTATGTATCTTTCCATTATCAAGGTTCAACGTCCTTGGTTGGATTGTCCTGTAAAAAGCTTGAAATTGGCATGTACTGTAATACTCAATGTGTACAGTGAGTGTACTGATGGTATTTGTATGTACGTTGTTTCAAATAGCTACAGGTGATGGGGACAAAATCATGTGCTACTGCCCTAGCTTTCATATTGTACAGCTGATGAGACAGGTATGTTTAGCTGTACTTTTTGAAGTATTATTAGTCAGAGAGAATGTTCTGACATTCTGAAATGATTGGCTTTCTGATTTGTAGTCTGTAGTCTTTTATCTATTTTGTATGTTTGTTGTTTCTACTACCTCCCCATTTTGGAATGCTCAGTCATTGTCCTTTCAGGTGTATTATTTGTAGCTTGCAAATTGTATCTGAGTGACTTTGAGGTCAAATATAAATCCATCTCATTTTGATTTGTATACAGTGATAGGGATATTTTGATTTATGTAGTGTCTGAAATGTAGAGAGCCGCTTGGCTAACCTTCAGTGTGTGTATTTATGTTCCTGTCTGCAAGGGTTCATCTCCTAAAGAAGCCTGTTGTTCTGTCCTCGCTGATATAAGAAGGAGAACAGGAGAAGGTGAATGCTTTGAGATTGGTCTTGTCGCCTTGAGCATGAAGGTAAAACAACTTTGTATGTGCCAGTGCAGTTTTGTTTTTTTAGGAAACTTTATTTACATTTAACTGTTTTTCACTTTTTTATATTCTTCTCATTTAGCTATTTTCAAAGCTATATTGTTTACGCCAACACACTGAAGAACAGAATAAGTATGATTTCTTATTGTACCAGCAAAGACACACTATTACATGGTGGAACTGCTATTAAGTCATTGCTCCTTAAAAGGCATATTTTGTCATATGTTAACAAAATTTTGTCAGTGTTTCCAGATGACTTTAATATTGTTTAAGCACATTTCCATATTTCAGAGGCAGAAATTCACCTCACACAGGCTTACAGCATGCATAGAACAAAAACAGTTTGTGTCTAGGACTTCTTAAAACATGGCCTAGAACATAAAACAAACTAGAAATGGTTTCTGTGAATCTGTATTGCTTAACCTCAATAATTTGTCCTCCTCTTTCAGGGAGAGGTGGGTGCAGCTTCCTCAGTGGAATTCCCTTATGCCTTTTGGAACCAAGGGATGGATTCAGTAGAGAAGAGTGTAATTTCTTATTAAGTGTTTTCTGACTTTGCCCCTGCAAGATTGCTTTCTCAGTGTAAGAATAAACTTTCAAGTATTCACTCTCAAGAGCAAAAAACAGGTTGTATCACAATGTGTTGTCGATCAGGATGAACTGTATATTATTATATACAACGTGCATATGTGGATTGTATGGCGAACTGTTTTCACAGACAGTGATATCTGGAAGTGCTCCTAAGCCCATGCAGTGATTTTCACTACAGAATCATGTCTGTTTTTAATGCAGTGCTGCCTGAGGGCCCAAATATCACAGCCAGCCAATATTAGTTTTAGGCTTTGTCCCTTGCATACAGAGATTTCCCCAGATTCTGTGAATCTTTTAATGGTATTATGTGCCGTACATGATGAAAAACAAAAGTTCTTTTCTATTTTATGTTGAGAAACATTATTCTTTAATTCTTGCGCAATTTTATTGTGCAGTCTTTCACAGTGGTGAACCCCTTCCTATCTTTACTTCTGAAAGACTCAGGCTCTCTGGGATGCTCTTTTTATACCCAATCATGTTACTGACCTGTTGCCGATTAACCACCAGGTGTGTTTTTTAGCATTACACAACTTTGCCAGCCTTTTGTTGCCCCTGTCCAAACTTTTTTGAGATGCGTTGCTGCCATCAAGTTCTAAATGAGTTAATGTTTTTCAGGAAATGGTAAAATGTCTCACTTTCAACATCTGATATGTGTTCTATGTTCTATTGTGAATAAAATATGGTTCTATAAGATTTGCAAATCATTGCATTCTGTTTTTATTTACATTTATTTGCATTTTACACAGCGTCCCAACTTTGTTCTATATTTAAAAGGTCCAAAAAACATCTTTTTAAATTGTAGAAACTGTATATTCTGAAAGCTTGTTGATTAAGAACATGCATGTTTGCTGATACTAAGTATTCTGTTTTATCATTTGTAGTATTGCATTATGTTCAGTCTCTGAAAATATCTCATGTCACATTTTCAGTAAAGTCAGAGGGCTGTGGTTACTTGTCAGGCTGTCACTCAGATCAAAAGACAATGAAATATAACAATGAATGATACATCAGCCTGACTCAGGATAGCTTCACACACACGTTATTGATCCGTGATTCATATTCACGCCAGCCTGTGCCACGTTTCACTAATGACGTAATTTTTACCCCTCATGATAGAGGGCAGGATTGCAGCAGTGGCGAGTGAGGCGCCCTAAACTGCTGTGAACTCATTATCTACGCTGGGCGGTGTAGGGAATTGTAGTCTTTTGCATTGTGTTGTTCTTGTTGGATGGATTCAAACTGCGGCGTCGTCGAACTACTACTTCCGCGGAGCCTGCACAGCGGTGGCTTACGCAGCCCGCTGAGGAGCCGCTGTTTCCTGGATGAAGATTCAGCCATTTTGAGTTTCAAACGAGTAGCCTCTGCTTTGGGGGGAGCAGCTAGCCAGCTAGTTACTTTTATATCGTCGGAGGAGAGAGTTTATTGTTTCCACTTCATCTACGCAGACCGAAGGGTTGTTTAAGAAGAAGAATTGCTTTCACGGTGTCAAATCCACGATGAATCCTGAATAGTAAGTGGATTAATGACTCGATAGCCTGTTAGCTCTTAGCCGGCTAGCAGAACTACCAGCAGTGGCACAGTGACCAGTTTTGACAGCTAAACCATTTTAGCTAAACTAGTTAGCAACCAGCAGCGACAACTACGTGTAAATAGCCTGCTTTAGCTTACTAGCAGCCTTGGTTAGGCATTGTTTTATTGTTTTCAGTACAAGTAACACATGGCTGTCATTTATTTTTAAATGATTCGTAATCCACCAACATCTGTGTTAATTATTTATGCTGACCATCCGCCTAACACCACTAATGTTAACTAACTGTTGATTTACCAGCGGATGGTAGCTACCTAACCTACATATCATTTACAGCCTTACTAAGCTAACATTAATTCAGTGAACTGTTGCGTCCAGAAAAGCACATTTGCTCGGTGAATTGTTCTGTGTGTAGTTAGACAGCTAGTTAATCGGTTGAATTAGACAAGACATAGCTTTGTTAAGATAGTTAGCCTGTAAAAGAGAGCGAATTTGTGCCGGAATTAGATTTCAAAGATGTTTGGTTAGCCTGCCAAGTAGGTGGATTTTTAAATCGAGTCGGTTGAGTGACTTGCCGGGTTTGACCTGCAAACACTTCCAATAAACCAAACCAGTTAGCTAAACATTAATAATCAAACGTTCAGTCATCGCTTGCTAGATAGCAGCCAGCTAGCTTACTTTTCATAGGTAGCTAAGTAGCTCGATAATTAAGTTAATCTAAAATAAAAGCCCTCAGTAGTTTGTGTACAGTAATGTTTCGAGTTGTATCTGAAATGCAGACTAGCTTGAAGTACTTTGTTCGGCTGATTAGGAACTGAGCAAGACAAAGTTCTGCTTTACTTAACAACTAAAGTTTTATATCTAGCACCCTGCCTTCTCAAAAGAAAATCCTCCTCTGTCACTCCAACTGCATTCTCTGCTACGACGTGTACATACTATATTTCCAGAATGAAGCGGCCCTGCACGGAGTGTCTAAATCAATCTCACTGTAGAGAACAGCCGTTCTGGGGCGTGTTCTCTTTAGCCATAGAACGCAGATCCGACTCGGGATGTTCTCTTAATTATGTTCCCGGCTTGTTTCGTTATTGTCATTATTGTGATTCTGTTTTATTTGAATTTATCCAGTAGTGCTTTACACTTAGGCCATCTGAGTTAGCGAATGACAAGTGAATGTTTAGGACTGGAAGCCACCCTTCCTTTCCTCAGCTGTAAGACAGTCATGTGTAAGTCACATGTCATATGACATGGTTCTTACAACACTCACTAAATGCTGAGCAACTGGAAAGACCGTTGGCTTCAGCATGTGTTGCCTATATTTTACATGTTGAGTAAACGCGTTTAGTGATTCCATTCAACTGATTAGATTTATTAGGCTATTTTTTCGTTATCTTATTACCACTTACTACTTTACCTTATTTTACTTATGTTATTCTAATATATTCACTTCTCTCAGTTCTCTCCCAAAAAAGTAAGGTCGATTTTACACGGTAGTTGTTTATCTTAGATGTATTCATGTTCTCATTTTACCTGAACCACATGGATGATCATACAGCAAAATTAGATCATACAATACAATGCTCTTTTGCCTCTACGTTTCAACAGTGGTTAAGTCAAAGCAAAAAAAAGCAAAAGTCAAATTATTTCACCGCAATTATAATTCAGGGCTAATGTTGAGGTCGCTGCTAGAGCTGGGTGCTATGGCAAAAATATATCACGATACTTAAAGAACTTTTCACAATATACAATGTTTTGATATTTATTTTTTTCTGATATGATTGGAACAGACAAAAAAGAAACAGAAGTGCCACATTTAAAAAATAATACTATCAAAAACAATGAATACAATGATTTGCATTGAACATTTCAACATTCCATGATGTTCACAGTCTACTCAAAGAAGCATATATGTGACATGTTATGAAGTAAGTTATCACAATAACAATAAATATTGTCATATTGCAACTGCTATTATTTTCGGTTCATTACAAGTTGTGCTTGAGAGGTGTGCAGATGCAACCTTCAAAGGATATTGCATACTAGTTGAGACCAAAGAAGATACAGGACGTTCTGTAATACAGGACAGAAAGAGCCCTTTTCCCTAGCTATATTGCTCACAGAATGAAACATTGGTGCAGTGTTAAGTATAGTTTGGTTTTCTATTTTGGAAGTTTGAAAACATTTTAGGAAAGCTTAGCTATGCAGACAGATTTTGGTCAGGTTGTTTGACCAGAACGTCCCTCCACAGCAGTGGTTTTTGTCAGCTGTCATCAGCCTAACAACGAGAGTATGACTTAAATTAATTACAGCAAGAGAAGTCAAGAAAGCACAAAGCTGCTCTGCTGAACCAGTAAACCGGACCAGACCAGGAGGATCTATAGAGATAAACTTCAGTTGTTTTTTGTATTTTCCTATGGGTCAAGGAATAGGTTTGTCAGATCCGTACCCTTTAGAGCCTCAAGCCTCCAATACCAAAATTTTGCTCATATTCACAAGGCCTAAATACTGATATATGACCAGTACTGATTTTAAGGAGCAGAAAATTAAGATGACTGATAATATCACCTGACATAATTTAATATAGTCAAAAAGGAAACCGACACCTGTGAGTCTTAAACAGACAACTGTAGCATGTCAAATTATTGGTAGGCTCTAATTTACCACATCCTGTAAACTCAGATAAATAGCTCACTGTGTTAAATAATAAAATTAAACATAGGGTGGAGCTTCACAGAATTCTGAGCAGTTTGTTGGTTTCTGTTTATTAGCTTATCTTATTCTCAGTGTTTATTTTTCACTGAAAGGTGCTGGTGTTCTAACGTTATCCTCATGCTAAAGGTTAGGTTTGGATGCATTGTACAGGTTTTTTGTTATTTTAGGCCTAGTCTTTATTGCTGTAATAGAAGTGAGCATGTAATTACTGTCAGTTAAAGTCTCTATAGGCCAGCAAAGTTGACCTTCCCATATTAAACATTAGTAAGAAAGTGTCCAGAGAGCAGTAAACATTTTAAGGTTTAGGCTCCTTTAATCATTATTGGATATTTATAGATATTCTTTTATAACTTTACAGAAATCAAACATGGAAACAGAGCACATGTTGAGTACCTGAGTGCTGCTAATTGAATACAGAACCACATCTGGATTTTTGTTTACAGGGAAATTTCTGATGATGTACTGCAAACAGTAATGTCTCTTTCAAACATAATGACATATAGTCATCCTCCTTTTAATCTGTTTTGTTGTCCTTAATAGCAGTATGGGTACATTGATTTTGATGTCTTAAAATCATATTCAGATACAGAAGAGACTGCTTCTGCTTTTCAGGATACAGAAGCATATGCAAATTCCCCTCTTTCTGTGGTCTTATGAAAACCACAAAGATTGGAAGCAGGCCAAGCCCTCCTTATCACAAACAGCAAAACAAATCCTCGCTATATTTTGACACGACACAAAACAAAGCATCTCATTATTATATTCTCTCATATCCCTCCCACAATTGTCTTTGCCTTTACAGTTTTTCCCAAATAGTTCACCTTGAGGTGACAACACTATCAAGGTGGCTTCTGACTAGAGGCTTGAGCACATTGAGCTAAAATTCCCCTTTGGAGGAATGCTTAATCTGCTTACTCAGATTTCCCTAACTTCAAGCTCCACATGCACAGAGTGCTTTATAAACTGCCATTGTAGTCTCCTGTATGTATGTTGAACTGGTAACTGTCCCATTCATGATTAAGTAACTTTAGACAGTGTTTCTCTGATGTCTGACCTATTTCATGTATAGGAAAGCTATAGTATCATATAGCATTTCGGCCCAGATTTAATGAATATGGGAAATGAGTGGTGTACAGTTGGTGTTCAAAAAAAGAAAAACTCTTGTTACTCACTTCTGGCTTATCGTTCTGAACTATAGACAGG